CTGCTCTTCATTCCGTCCACTTTCTTGGTGCAATTTCTGTGTCCTTTCGACATCACGAAATCACCAACAAATATATTCTTTACCCTGGATTTATTTGCCTTCACGGTAACGGGCTAGTAATTGGTATTTAGTGATTATCATGGTCAATCTCGACCACTAAAATCATTTGAATGCGCTTTCAGACCAAATTCTGGAACTTTAGTTGCTATAATGGCTCAGGGTTGTAAAGTTTACATTAACACATTATTGGCAATTAATTGTGGCATTAGAAATTACTATAGAAAGGGTGTTCAGAATAATTTTTTATCAGGTCTGCATATAGATATCGTCCACCTACTCACCAGTAATATTAGATATCTTAGTGATGAGCCAGTATAAGTCGGGCTATTTCTTCTATCTTGTCTGCCGATATAAGGACATGTTTCCAGATCTTGAGTAGCTGGCAACGGAGGTAGCTATAGCCACACTAGTCCTGGAGAATGAGTTTGTTCCAGGGAAGAGAGAAGATTGACAGCATAATAGAGGTATCTTAACAGCTGATAATGCCTCAAACAATAACTGGTTCATGAGCATACTTGAATCCGAACACGGCTCATGTTTCAGCGTACTTGAAACATCGTTTAATGTCAGTGGGAGAAAATGCAAAAAATTTATTGAGTCTTATTGCGAAAGCTTGCAGAAAAAGTATTTCCAAAATGTCTGACTGGACGTCACTTAGAATCAAAAGTTAAAGATAGGACGATTCATAACTGTTAACTCATGAGTTGATAGTGAAAGTAAATAACTGATGTCATGTATGCTACCACAAAAAAAGCTGTTCTAGTTCACTTTAGTAAGCCATAGATTGTGAACACTTTGAATTCGCGTACAATAGATTCTGAAACTCCACGAGATATATATTTTATATGGTTCGACATTTCTTTTCATAGTTTAACAATCAAACAGGAAGTTCTAAATTTCCCACAGATGAAAAGTGTTTCGTCAGACTTCGAGGTCCTAAAGTCTAGAAACGAATTTGTATTGGTACAGAAGACATCTATAAGTAAATTTTAAAACGAAGTATATTTTATCCAACTGAATTAAAATTTTAGATTCAGGGAACAGAAAGGAGATCATAGTTAAGCTTCAAGTAGGACGAACTTCATGCTCCTGTCACATTCTCTGTTAGTCAGGTAATAAGGAACAGCATCTTTAGTAAAAACATACTGCTATTTTTAGATTAATGAGGTACCCAAGACAAATGTCTGATAAACGAAACAAAACGATATTAGGGGCAAAAGTTGGAATGTATGGACTGTAATGCAGTAAAAAGTATCGGGTATCCAGTAATAATATAGACTAAAAAGATAGAATGGGACCACTTGATACCTAATGTTGGTCAAACGTAGGAGAATGATCCTCTTGTAAAAACCATATAGGTTTGTTACCAGACTAATCACCACTTCGGACTTACTATCGTAAAAAGCAGTGTCTCACCTCACACTTAAATCATTCAGTGGAAAGTTGAGTGGGTGTAAAAGTCTCATGCAAAATAATATCAAACACCTTTGGCTTTCTGGTCCTATACAGGAAATCAGATAAAATCAGAAGATTTAACCGTCATTGAAGTTGTTTATTTGCTTCGACCTTGCGAGTATCAACTTTGTAAATTTGGTTCAAAACCGATTGGTGTGTGAGTGTGGGTTCGTTTTTGTGGATGATTCTCTTTTCGTTCGATGATAATAAGTGGTAAAAGTGTAAGTCATTAAATATTCGATTGAACATTATCGTATTTTTCGACTCAATCATTTGCATTTGTATGGCGTCGCACTTGCAAAGGGAATTTTGACAATCGCATCCAAAACTGCCATATGTGAGCGCTCCAAGTAACAACAAAAGCATTTTTACGAAAGCCTTACTTCCAAAAGGCAGAAACATAGCTTTATTTTATAAATTAAGTGGTAATTAAGAACTGAAATGAGTTTCGGTCATACTGTAGAACCGATCCATTTAACCCGAACGAATGCTGTACTTTATCCATTTAACAAGAGCTTCTGACAAAATTGGTTTAGCAAAATTATTTATCTTATATACTTAAAACAGCGAGGTTTGAACTGTCAAACGTTCTTACGTAATTTACCAGATGGTCTCATGTACCGAACCAAAAACCAAACTGCGCCTGAAGATACTTGCTGGATGCTCAGATCAAATTTAGGCAAGCGGGCTTCAAACCTGCAAATTACTGTTTAAAATTCAAACTCCTGACCACTGAGTCATTGCTTTAGGAGTAAATTATGACACTATTTAGGGTAGTATTTTGGAAAATTACATGATAGTTTGTGAGCACTTTACTGATACACAACACACAGTAATGTGAATATGTTACTAACCACCAAAAGAGAAAAACTCAATTTGTCGTTTAACATACCATTCTTTTACCTGGCACAGTTAAGATGCTAATGTATATTCTGAAGCTGCATCCATGAATTCATAGGTTTGGGAGGTCATTTACTTCCAACGAAGCAAACACTTTCGGAAACAAAGAGACTGGTGATCCCATCTCTATCTCTGTCAACCCAAAATATCTGTGCGTATTGATTTACCAATATGTTTATAGCATTATATGATGAGTCTTGTTTCTGCGCTTCGTTCGTTGTTCTTGTGGAAATAAATTAGAGAATGATCCGAATGTTAGATGAGCCAACTAAGCACATCAGAATATAACTGCACTTCTTAGTCTTATTGATGTATTACGTTTTTGGAGCTTAAACACCACTAGAATTTTTCTGCCTTAAGTCATTGGGATGATTGAGTAGACGTTATCAATCTAATTAAGACCATCCAAGCAAATCTTTCGTTTTGCAGCATTAAGTTCTGTCACGCAAGCTGCAGTTCTCTGGTTTGGTCGCTCAATTCTCAAAAGTTTCGTCACTCGTATACTAAAGTTTAAACAGCTAAGTGGTTATCTCAAAACATCTTTGTGGTTTACTGTTTATCCATTTACCTTAATGTAATGATTTATTCAATGTTTCTACAATATCTTAAACAGTTTTACCCATCCAAAAGATCACATTTCGTAGGTAACCTGAGTTAAAGTCATTGCTGTTGTAAAGCCAAAATGTATTAAAGCTCACTTTACTATCTACACAGGTTGGGTTTCCTCATACTAACGCTTCATACACTTACATAACCTGATTAATTAAAATGTCTACAACGCTAAAAGTTTCCACGAGGAGCATATCTCAGTGTTATAATTTCATAGTCGATAGCTACAAAATATTTCGTTATGATAACCCACATCTAAAACTGTTTTTTTTAAAACTTTTTAGGGTCCTTGTCGTCCATGGAATCATCTGAGAAGCAAACTCCCAGGTCTAACAATGCATTTAAAAACAAGCCTGGGCGAGGTCGAACCACTTCACATGTCAACAGGTCTAGTGGTAGAACAAGTCGTTCAAAAGCTAGTAGACGTTCATCTGTAAACTCAAAGAAAAAGTATAATGCTAGGTGTAGTAGAGGAAAAGCTTATGCTAAGGTGATTACTATGTTTAAATATTCAGTGATGTATACACCACAGTCGTCTAATAACTACAATCAACTAAGCCAGTATGTTTTTGTGTTTGCTGGAACATTTAATGGAACTCAGTGAGTAAACATTTTCCCACCTCAGAATGAAATTACGTTTGTATACTTAGAAGTCACATTTTACATAGTCGCCAAAATCGTTTGTTTCATCTGCTCAGATTGCTGTTACCTAGAGCGATTGCCCTGATAAACACTCGATTCATAACGGTTCCCCCACCAACTAGAGCAGAATTGGTATCATATGCAGTATATGGTGGCCCAGAATCCCTTACTTCTCGGTCAGATGGTTGGCTACAGGTTCAGCTCCCTTACTTCGATTGGAGCAGTCATATATTATTGCTAACCCTTACAAAAATGATGTGATTCACTCAACTACTTGTACTTGGTAAATAAATTAAAACCATTATTGCTACTGGCCGGTTCCAAAGTGTAAATACTCACTTTTTCAACATAAAATGCTTCTATTTTATTTTTGTCTGAGGATAATTTCGATTATTAGTGTAATAAATCTTAATAGGATTTTATTTGATCGAATATTTCACTGGTGAATCAAATATTACTACTTTGTAACTCCGACCAGTAGTCCAGCTTCGTGACTCATAAAAATTATTGAAGGCAGGAAATTGGATCGTCTCGTTATTTTTCAGCATCAGAATCAATTTACGCCTAACCCCTTCTGTGTGTAATGTTGAGTTCTGAAATTTTCCAACTATGAATTTCGCGATTTATTAATTCTTAAAGGTTATACGTCCTCGTCATTGCTCAATAGATGAAGTATTAAAACTTCATCAGTTGAGGTGGTTGGGACATGTGTTACGTATGCCCAACCAACAACTGCCTCGACGAGCTATGTTTTGTGGTTTAGAAGTAAGTTGGAAGAAAGCTAGGCGCGGCCAAACCAAAACATGTCACAAGTCTATGAAGTCACTGACAACTGGATCGAGTCATGTTGGTAGGTGTCGACTGCCTGTTTGGGGCCCGCGAGATGATGGTAATCGATGGCTAGAGACCCCAAGTGACATGGCTCGGAATCGTTTGCAGTGGTGCAGGTGCATCCACTCTTTGTGTTTTCCAAATTTTTAATCTTCTGGATTTCTTACCACCTCTATCTTTCTTTTTATAAATTTATTTCACTGATTTATACTTCTTGAATAATTTCTTCGAACCCTAATTGTACTAAAGAAAGCGATAACTGTTATTTCAATTAGTGTGGTATTTCATGGTTAGTTAAGCATCCAGTGAAATGATATACGTTCAGTCACATATCCAAGTGTTACCTAAGTGCTCTAATCGAAACTCTTTACCATACATAAACAGCCTCATCTCAATAACACTCACATTACGTTACTGAGTATAATCAGTTTTATGCAGACCTCGTTTATCTTCAACTGAAAGTAACCGATTTACATTGGCGTAGAAGTAAAGCATGCTTCCTGAAGCATTGTACATATCGATGTTACGACAACAAAACCAAAAGGTCAGGTCGGTTTATATTAATTCTGATCACCATGTTGTATCGCGTTATGAAATTCTACAATCAGGGCATCTATTACTTTTAGTCAAATTACTTACATATCATATATCTCTCCATACCATTGACATTCATTGGTTTTCACATTTTAGTGTACCTGATGTACTTAAGATTTAGTGCCCCTCATAATCGTGCAGAAATGCAATAAGTCGTTTGGTCAAAATTTATTTTGGATTCACTGGCCATGTCCGAGGATAGCAGAAGCATATGCCTACATCGTCCATTAGGCCCCTAAAGCTCAAACACACATCTTTTTGGTAAAGTGGTTAAGACGTTCAGCTTTTGGTCACTAAATATCAGGCTTGAACCCCATTCCACCCTCAGCTTCGGTGACTGGGTAGTATCATTATCTCTTAGATTCAAGTGCCTAGTAAATGAATTAGTCATTATTATTAAGTCCTTTTGGCTACTACTATCCATGTCAACGTACAAGATTTCTAAATCATCTTGTTATTCCAAATAATTTTCTTATATTGAATAATGACAGTTTGAAATTCTCATCTTATTCTTTACTAGCTAATTCAAACTAAATCTCAACGTAGAATTCCCAATGGTCATATCGCCAGCTGTTCTACTGCTATGTACAGGTTAAAATGCAGAAGAACTTCACAGGCCGTATATGTTAATAAACGACCATATAGGCGTCGTATTCCAGATGTTAATTCTCAGGCAGATAATTCTTCAAAAGATGTTTTATCGCAAACTAACTCTGAGTTGAATATCATTCCAATTGACGAGAACCCAGTCGAACAAGTTCAACGGATCATTTCTAGCAAACCGACAAACCTCAAACGAAAATACACTCGACGCAATTCATCGTCAAGATTTTTTAATACTAAGAAACTTAATGTCAAAAGTACACAGTTTAACTGTGCTAGCTCAACCGTTGATTTTAACAATTTGGCCAAAAAACAGGAATCATTTATACGGGCTTTTGCTATCCCAACACACTTATATCGGTATCTTTCTCATCGTCATCGTGATCGTCCATTGTATTTGGACCGCAACCTCAGTTATTTGATGCCAAATTCATCCCGTAAACAGTCGGCCGGTAAGTTATAATTCATATCATATTACTTGATGGAAGTGTTTGTTTATGTCTTAAATTGTATTCAGATTCATTTTAACCGTAATCAGTAAGGCTACTTGCCAGTTTAAACACTGAATAGTTGACTATAGAATCTAAATCTTGAACCTAACTGAGTACAAAGTTAACTATCTTTTAGTGTATTTAGTATATAGCTAGCAGTGAATTCCAAGAAGCACATCCCCTCCCATTTGAAACTGTCTCCGTCCCAGTTTGGATGTTTATAGAGAAACTTGAACGGATTGTTTCAATGTAGCATGTACTAACAGGTTTTAGAATATTTGATATGTAGCTAGCAATGAACTAGTTAATGAGTGATACTATCCTAACGACGTACTCATTATGAATGTTGAGTCATCTAACCATTAGACTACCGCCCCCATGAAAAGCCCAGATTTCTCCACATTCGTTTTGTGGAAAAAGATACAACACAACCATGTCATTCATTAAGTATCTGTATTAACTTGTAGTTTATTATTGATTCAGGTTCACGTCGAAGTATAAACCGAATTGTAGAACGTCTAATTGAAAAACGAAACAATTGTAAACGAAATGGTGAATTGAAGGATTCCAGTAATTACTTAGAATCGAATTCGTCTTCCTCTTCCATTACTTCCGGTGAATGGCCTCAGGAGTTAGAATTAGTTTTTGAAGGTTTTTACGATAGTGAAAAAGAAATGGATTGGGTCACCGTGGACGTAAGTGTACTTTTTAGCCATTCATTTAACCTTATAAAAGTTGTATTTGTTACTTGATATATACATATGTGTTCAATAAATCCTTTCATTGTTTAAATAGAATGAATAATAAATCTGTAAGTCATTCATAATCAACGCAGAATCTGTACATTAGTTCAAGTTGCTTCACCATATGAGCATAATCAGATGAAATTACAAAGACAAATGTCGGATTAGTTGAAGCAGTAATAGTAGTATCAGTTTTATTAGTAAAAAAAACAGACATAAGCACTGTACTTCGAGAATAAACGGATGAATTCATGGAATAACACAAAATAATTTCAAACTCGAAGATTCACTTACGCCTGTTGTCCTAGTGGAATATAGGCCGCCAACCAGCATTCTCCAGTCTATTCCGTCCTGGGTCTTACTTCCCAGTTATACCCAACTGTAGTTCATTCTTTTTATGTCTGTTTCTAATTCTCGGCGTATGTGTTCTTTGGTCTTCTCCTTTTACTTTGGCCTTGAGAATTGCAAGTTAGGGCTTGTCTTGTGATACAGTTGGGTGCTTTCGTCAATATGTGTCTTAACCACTTCCAGTGTTTCTTCCTCCGCTGAAATCTGGTTTGTTCTCTCCCGCAGTAGTTGTTACTGATGGTGTCTGACCGGCGGATCTGAAGTATTCTGTGTAAACAACTGTAAACACGTGTATCTTCTGAGTGACGTCATTCGTAGTTTCCCGAGTTTCCACCCCACACAATAGAACTGTTTTGACATTTTTATTGAAAATTCTGATTTTGATGTTGGCTGACAGCAATGGTTTTGAGTTCCAGATGTTATTGGATTGTAGAAACGCTTCCCTTTCCCTTGTGTGTGTTAAGACCTATTGACGTAGAGGTTGCTGCTACACTGTTCGTCTTCACCTCCATTATCGCTATGTAGAATAGAACAGCTAGGTCTTCTGTGAACTCTAAATCGTGCAAGTGCATCCGAGCTGTCCACTGTATTCCGTGTCTCCCTCCAGATGTTGACGTCCTCATGATCGAGTCGACCACCAGGAGAAAGAGAAAGGGTGAGAGTAAGCAACCTTGCCTGACAACGGTCTTCACTTACGATGAGTCTTATAGCTGTACTCCATGCATTATTTTCCAGTTTAATCCACCATAAGAATTGCGTATGATTTTAACTGTCTTCAAAGGTACGTTGTAGTGTTTTTGAAGTCACGATAGTGTCAGCCTGTCCACACTGTCAAATGTTTTTTCGTAGTACTGGTAGTAAAGTGGTGCCTCAGTAGTTGACACACTTGCTGAGATCTCCTTTCTTCGGTGACTTGATGAGGTGTCCTTCTTTTCACTGTGCTGGTACTTCTTCCTCCAAAATCTTGTTGAAGAGTATATGGATTATCTTTGTAATTACTGTTATGCCAGCTTTCAGTTGTTGTTCATTGAGTAGATTATGAAATGCCTGGTACTTATTGCTGAGGGCTATCTTGAATTTGTTGAGTTTGCCAGTATCGCGAAGAAATGCCGTATTGAAATTTTTTTAATGCCGTTTCTCCAGTTGTCCTATGTTTTTTTCTCCAATTTCAACTGGGCTCCAGCAAGTGATGATCTGAGTCGATACCAACTCCTATTTTGGTTTTCACGTCTTTCATTGTCCTTCTGAACTTTTAATTGATGCGGATATGGTCGATATGGTTTTGTTTAGTGTGATCCGGTGAAATCCATGTATGTAGCTTTATGTGTGCGTTTTTTTGTGGGAATATGGTGCTATGGTGCCGCCTATGACTATCTTTTTAAAGGCACATAAGTTCGCGAATCTTTCACCATCTTGTTCCTTGCTTACAGTCCATGTCATCCCACAATGTCTTCATATCGTCTGTTGTCCATTCTAACCTTTGCATTTAGGTCCCTCATCAGAATGATCGAATCCTCTGCTGACGTTCATTGTAATCCCTTCCTTTGTTTTGAAGAATGCTTTGATGTCCCTTGGTGTATGAGATTCCCATCCTTTCAGTACTTTTATGCTTGTTTGGATAGAATCAGTACAACTCGTTGTGTATTTGGAGCATTCTTTTCCTCATGATCGGAGTATAACAGCAACTCTCCTAAAGAGCTGGTCTTTGTTGTTCAATTTGCATCCAATGTGTTTCACTGATTCCAAGTACCATCAGGTTGTATCTTTTCTTTTCTGCCTCAACTTGGATGACTCTTCCGGTCTCCCACAAAGTGCGAACATTTCGTGTACCTAAATTAGTGGTTGTTCTGGTTGTCTAATAGAGGCGCTTCTGGCGTGAAAATGAGAAATTCAGATATCCAAAAAATATAGAATTAAGAGGTCTACCAAATGATTTCTAGGGAATAAGGCATCCCAAACAGAACACTTCAAAAATATATCTTATTGTTACCAACCATTGTTAAATAGGATCTATAAAAGACTAGAACTCAATGCTTGTGTTCTCATATGACTGCTGAAGTATAGCATTTATTGTAATGTTAAAAGAAAAAAACAAGCAAATATCCAGTTTTAGCATAAATGAAATGCTCATGAAAACAGTATATTGCAGTTTAATGAGAAAATCTGGTTTATATTAACATTATTTTAAAAACTATTCTGGTTAGAAAGTAAAAGTTGATAGTATCTTATTATTATAAATATTGCAACAAATAAAAAAAACAATTTTTCTACATTTTTTTCATATTAAGGCTTCGGTTAGTGTTCATTTACGCTTTGGATGGGCATGGCGTCGTAAACTATGCCCAGATGATACCATTTTAAATATAACACCCAATTCAATTCGAATGAATTGTTACAGTCATTCAACTGGCTACGCTTCCCTAGTTAACTCACCACCACCCACTTCAAATAATAATAATAATAATAATAATAATAATAATAATACTGCTACAACAAATACTACTTATACCACTTGTCGTTTCTCTTTAACCGATTTAATTAATCAAGTTAAGTGGAATACATCTAGTGGTCGTTTAACATCTGCTCAATTAGAATTACATGTTTCCGCCACTGAACGACGTTGGTTAAAACGTCCTGATCTAAGTCATGGAGCTGTTAGTTTGAATGGAATTACTTCAACTATTTCAAATAATTTAACAAATCATATTACTAATCATATGAATCACAATAATATTAATAATACATCCCAAAATTCATCGAAAGCTGTCAATATTGATGGGAAAAGTCATGTCACATTTATCAATGGTAATCCATTGCGTAAAGGAGGTTTAAGTTCAAATTCCTATCCAGTTCAATATGCAACAGCTCCATTGCCTTTGATCATATCTTCAATTGGCTTCGGTAAGTTAATCAAACTAATTCTCACACTGTATTTTAGCCGTCACTTATGATAATGAGGTTTCCTGTTGTTTTGGTTTTTACTCTGTAATTTTTCTTGCCTTTGCTCGTATTTTACAGCGGTTAACCCACAAAGCATAGGTTACAAGTAATATAGGTGTCTTCGAACCGTTGCTTGTGTGTTGTAAAACGACCGAGTGAGCAATGTTGGGGTTTAGATATAGGATACTAGACAAAAATGACAGATCTGGCTGCAGAAGTTGTGAATCTTCGTCGTTTGTAAGTGATTGAGAGTATGTACATCAGTTCAGAATGACATTCCACATTAGCACAGAGACGCAACCGAAGGTTAAAATCCCATAGTAGTACAGGTAGTAAAAGTATTAGCAGTATTCAGAGAGATTAGTTTTCGAAGAAATTATTTAAAAAGTATAATTCAGTGGTAAAGTTAGAAAAAGAAAGATAGAGATGATGAGGAATTCAGGTTAGAATTTGAGGGAACACAAAGAGTGGATGCACCTGTACCACTGCAAACGATTCCGAGCCATGTCGTTCAAGGTCTCTTATCATCAATTACTATCATTTCGCCGACCCCAACCAGGCAGCCTACATCTACTAACATGACTCAGTCTACTTGTCAGTGATTTCATGGATTTCTGCCATGTTTTTGTTTGGCCACCCCTAGCTTTCTTCCAACCTCCTGCACCACAAAACATAGCTCGTCGAGGCAGTTGATGGTTGGGCATTTGTAACACATGTCCCAACCACCTCAATTGATGAAGTTCCTGTATTTCATTCATTGGTTTGCCATCCTTACGTAGTACCCGTTTCCTAATAACAGCATTGCCGATGACATAGTTCTATTCGGTGAAGACGCTGACAAAATGCAGAGTCTTCTGACCACCCTAAGCAACAATGCAAGCATATTCGGGATGCGGTTTTCCCCCCGAAATGCAAAATGTTGCTTCAAGACTGGGTTGCATCGGAACCTGAACTAGTGATAGGGAGTGAAGTAGTCGAGCGTGTTGATCACTTCACTTATCTGGGGAGTCTCGTCAGTGCTGATGGCCTGGTGACTGACGAAATCTCAGCTCGGATACAGAAGGCTCGATTGGCTTTTGCCAACCTGCATCACTTATGGCGCCCGCGAGATATCCGTTTGCTCTCAAAAGTACGAGTGTACTGCGCAGCAGTTTGATCCGTCCTACTTTATGTCTGTGAAACATGGTCAGTGAGAGTAGAAGATATTCGTCGGTTATTGCTTTTCGATCATAGGTGTCTTCGAAGCATTGCTCGAGTATCGTGGGACTCCCGAGTAAGCAATACTGTTGTTAGGAATCGGGTGCTAGGTAAGGATGGCAGATCAATAGATGAAGTAATGAAACTTCATCAGTTGAGGTTGTCGGGACATGTGTTGCGTATGCCCAACCACCGACTGCCTCGTCGAGCTTTGTTTTGTAGTGTAGGAGTGGGTTGGAAGAAAATTAGGGGCGGCCAAACCAAAACATGGAGGAAATCCATGAAGTCATTGACAAGTGGACTTAGCCATGTCGGTTATTGTCGACTACCACCTGGTTGGGGTCCGCGAGATGATAATAATCGATGGTTAGAGACCTTGAATGACATAGCTCAGAATCGTTTGTAATGGCGCAAGTGCATCCACTCTTTGTGTTCTATCAAATTCTAAGCTTCTGCATTCCTCATAATCTCTACCTTTCTCCTTCCAAATTTATCTTACTGAATTATACTTCTCGAATCATACCTTCGCTCCCTAATCTTCTCCATTACTGCTAATACTTCTATTATTGCTATCACTGTTGGATTTGAACTGACAGTTGCGTCTCTGTGCTGATGTGGTATGGCAACCTGAACTTATGTACTTACGTACGAAGTTCTGCGTTGTATCTCTCTCTGTCTGTCTGTCTGCTTTAGTTAGCTGGGACTGCGACAAACGGATTAGAATAGCCTATCGTGTTACTGAGTCATTGCTTCCGTTCCATTTTCCGAGTAAGGTGAACTCGTAATAGTTTCAAGCACACCAATTGACGAGCATATGATAATGCCAACTCAAAAATAAATGAGTTTTACTGGCATCTTTTACACTGCAGATTAATTTTAATTAACTTTTAAGCTATGTTAATCAGTTATCGTCTTTCTCAATTCGTTTGCAGTTGATATTCAACTTGTGATTGTTGATTCTTAGTTAGGAAAACGGTGCTAATACATTCTAATTCTGTACATGATTATTAAAATAGAGCATAATAAAAATGCATCAATTAACCCAATGGTAATTGTTTTTATGCAGATGTACAGTGACGAGTTTCTAACTCACATCAAAACCTCCAGGTTCAGTGCTTACTGTTATGATTCAATACAGACTCTTGATATTAAACAATATTCACTAAAAAAATCGAGTTACCTCTGTAGTCTAGTAATTCTATTGGTATTTGATATATAGAATTCAATTATTAATAAAGACTGGACTACATGAGATTTCGTTACTATTAAGCGATGAACTATCGCTTAAATCTGTCTTGCAATAGATCAACCTGGTAGTAACATATTTGTCTGCAGCACGGGTTCAAGTCCTGTGGGGATAAAAATAGAATTTGTTTAAAAGTCCTAACCAACGTGAAATTTTTTGGTTCATAACTCTGTCAATTGTATATTATAATCTAATACTTATTTATCTAAATTTTTATAACTTATTTACCAGACAGTCATACACTTACAACCACCTTAAATGTAAGGGCACCTTAAGCTTGAAACATGTTCTGATTGTATTGGGTGCCAAGTCTAACACTATGACGTATACAATTTCCTATTGATGTTCGTTTACAATTGCTTCCCTTCTTCACATTATGAAAATAGCATCACTATAATTTTAATCAGTATTTCTATATCCATCTCCTGTTTTCATTTCTATATTTCAAAAAAATGGTTTAGATAGTTCCAGTACTGGTCGTCAACTGCTTTTGACTCCTGGTTTATATGAATTACGCCTTGGTGTAGACACGTCCGACGCTAATGGTGGTAACAGTGGTAGCAGTAGTAGTAGTGGTAATGGTGGACTGATGAATAAAGTTGTACCATTAAAATGCTTAGATGACAAAATAAGTGAAAAATCTGTTGTTTCAGCTAACAACGATCAAGTAGGTGACTCATGCTCTGGCCAAGTTGAATGGAGGCGTATTCGGTTTCCTAATTCTTCCACAGCACTCGACGAGTATTCTCGATGGCCCCGTCTTCGATTTTCTGTCGTATGGCATAATAAATCGGAAAATAATCAGGTCACTTCGCCTAGCAGATCAATGGAAACTCGAAGACAAGATAATTCGCATACACATACAGAAGGTCGATCCTCACTTACACGTTCCATGACGAATTCTCATAATCGAGATGTAATCAAGTCGCAAAATCAGTCCGTCACACCGCAAAGCCAAACAGTTTTAAAAGAGTCTTGCGATTCTTCTGTGTATAAAGATTCAACTGGTTTAGATAGATGTCTTTCCAATCGTGTGCAACAAAGTCTTTCTGTTCATTTGGGATCAGATATTGACAAGCTCACACCTAAAAAGACGCTACCTATAATTCATCCAATCATATACGGTTTTGTTTTCGGGGGTAATTTACAACAGTGGTCTGAATCTACTGATCTTGTGTGTCCATGGTGCCACCTTGATTGTTCCCGTGCTGGTGATAAGGGTCCTCAAGCCTTGATTCTTCATCTTCGAACTTGTCATCCAAGATTTCGTTTCAAAGTTATATGGAATCCATCACATACGCAATTAAGCCTACAAGTTTCATTAAATGAAGCATATGACGGTTCAAATGATTGTGGTATACGTAGATGGTGTCTGAGCGGTCGGAATGTTCTCATTTTACGGCGACATACTATCCCATCGTCAGGTCAGTTAGTCGGTGGCTGTGCTGCCGTTGGTATAAATAGTAATGCTAAACAGTCAGGTCGTCATTCTACTTGTCCACCATCCCTGATTGAAGCCACTGTTCGAATTCGTTGTCCTATACGACGATTACCGTACACACATTTGATATTTTGGCGTGGCGCTGAATTGTCAGCTGATCAGGTTAGTAAAAAATGTTTCTTCATGATTTCATTGTGAGTACATAAATGCTTTCACAGCTATCTTCATAGCGTATAAGAAATAGACTTATTATCGTTATTATTATTACTTTTAATTACCAAAAAAGACGTAATAGTCCAGTTGTGATACTGAAAGCAAGCATTATTTGATCATATCAGATAAGTAATATTGAATTGTTATTCCATTCTTAGAAAAATTTAATTAACAAATTTATGGAAATATTTCTCAGTTATAGATAACTAAGGAGTCCACCACAATCAGTTAGTCATTTGAAATATAGAACCTGGCATATATGTGTATCGGTCCAAGTTGTCGTACCTTATAAAGCACTGCGTAATATAATTATCAAGACGTAGCAGTATCACTCTTAAAAAATATCAGGTATTGAAAAAAGTATTATAAGGAGATTTCAGGATTCATAGAGTGAATATACCTGCAGCATTGCAAATAGTTCTTAACCATGTCACTCAAAGCCATTAGTTATTATAAATAATTACACGGATTCCAACTAGAATGTCTACATTTATTTAGATTATTATTTTATTCAAAACACAAACATTTGTACGAGTGGGCACCAAAATATGCGCCACATAATAAAATAAGCTTTTAAAGAGATAAAGAAAGGACGTTGAGAATAAAGGGAAAAAGGATAGCAATTAGCGTGTGAGAGTTAAATAGTAATAATAATAGTGGGAGGAACATTTTAGTTGAGGGAAATACCATCGGGACGAATCTTTTCCTTTGAAGATATTCTTTTTGATTATGTGAAGAAAACAAAAGAAGGTTACAGCAGAACTGACACTCTTCCATTCTTCGTCATGTCTGATAACGTCTCAAGCCAATCGGGGAGTCGTAAAGGACAGGAGCTAGCCCTGTACACCATGTCATATACTGACCACCTCTCCCGTTTTTCCAACCAATCCTAGCGTTGACTAATAATACACGATATGGTTTTCATTGGGACGATATTCCTAATACATGTTTGAGCCACCGAAGTCAGTGTTTCAACATGGTTACACCGACTGAACTATTGTCATTGTGCCCGAACATATGCTGCCGAATCTCTACATTACCAACATGATGTTACCACCGATCATTTCGAGACAACATTGGTCAAACAGAGTTGCTGAACATCCTGGACTTGATAAAGCCAGGTTTCACAAGCATGGAGCAAAACTGCTCTCACTGATGCGTTGTAGATCCTACCTCTTACAGCCAGAATAACGTCATGAAGGCGGCAAATTTGGCCCATATTGACATAAGCCACTTTAGCTTTCTGTACACATGAATTGATTTCATCACTCACGCCACTATTAGTACTTACGCAGCTAACCACATACATAAATTTTCCGACTTATATGTACTCATTGCTAACGGTGAGTGCAGGCACATGTTCTTATCTTAGTACTTCGCACTTAGAAAGTTAAAAGTACATTCCATACCAATGGAAACGGATTGCCAGCTGACTAATCACTAAAGGTCGAAAAGTCTTTCTCCAGACAACAGATCTAAACCACTATTACGTTTATCCATCAGAGCTATTCCCAGAACATCATCATTGGGAAGATTGAAAATGTATGGTGAGATTAGGCAACCCTGTTTAACCCCATCGATTGACTGAAACAACGGAGAGCGGTGGCTGAATGATCTGACTTTGCCTGAGGTGCTAGCATTTTAGGCCTTACGGATGTTAAACTTCTCAGACATACCCTTCTTCAACGGTCAGTCCCAGAGAAAAGTCCTGTTCTCTGAACTAAAGGCGACCCTGATGTGAAGAAACACAACTATTGCTGTCCTGTGATAAGTATGGCGGTGTTCTAACAGTTGGCAGATGCTGAAGATATGATTAATACATCCTCAACCAAAACGGAAACCAGCCAATCTTTTTCCGATTTTGAACAATCTGCAACGTATGGCGGAAGCCAGCATTTTGGACACAATCGGTGGTGGACTTGTTCCCCAAAAGTTGTTACATAGATGACGTGAGTCTTTTTTAAAGATAAGGAAAGCTGTCGACTCATTCCAGGATGTTGGGACAATGATTGTCAGACTGCTGTGAACAACACATTCAGACGGTTGCTACCATCTTTACAAAAAGGCCGGATTTAAGTTTTTTTGGCCTGGTGATTTGTTGCACTTCAATGATTGGAATTCTTTGCAGACTTCCACCACGTTAGGTGGGAGGAAAGAACAGTCTCGATGTCACCTGGGTAGCTGAACTGTCGCTCGAAAAGTCCTGTCTATCGTCGAAGATTTCGGTGGGTGTTATTGCTTGGCGTCCCACCAGCTTCACAAATTGTTCCCCTAACACCAGACTTCTTGCTGCCAGAATCCCGGACCAGTTGAAAGAGCTTCCGGAAGTTACCAGCTGCAACTGCTACTTCGAATTCGGTAGCACGCTCTGATCACCAGGTTTCTCGGTCCTCACGCAAACTTTGCACTATTTGGTTACGTGGTAATCTTTTATCGTCAAACTGTCGGTTACACGGAGTGGACCGATGCGCTTCAACGAGTTGAAAGGGGTCTGTAGAAACTCAGTGCTTATAAGCGGGATGCTTCGCGAAGCCGCAAGCAACTTTACTCTCTCTCATTTTACAGCATTGTGCAATTGCAGCCAATTTTGGTCTGAACTTTTTGGTGGTGTGATAGCTAGCCTTGAACCTAGAGCAGTTTGATAATTAGTTACAACAGAAGCCACAATCGATTTCCCGATCGTAGCTGCTACCTTGATGTGATGGTCGGGCTTGCCTATCGTGATGACCCAACCGAGCTATATTGGGTGGAACATATCTTCCCTTAGGTCCTACCATGCCAAGGGAGTCGATTGGAGAACAGTAAGACTAAAAGCAGCAACTTTTAGCTGAATAATTTCATTTGTTTAGTTTCTATAATTTACTGAAATATCAACTTGTGTTCATATTCCATCGCCTATCGCTCGTACATACCAAGGACAGGTTTATGTGTGCGCACGCCGCTTAGACGCAGATAGTTTGCACGCGAGAACTATTCAGTTGTTCGTAGCCGAGATTTGCGAACAATGCCTTTCCAGTTTCCGACCTACTAGTTTAAACCAGCTGGATCCTTTAACCTCTTGAAAGTACTACTTTCGACATTAGAATATACATTTCAACAGACTAATCAGTTGCAGTCCGTGAATATCAGTAGCCAGAAATCATTAGCCCGTTTTGGACATCTTAGTGTCAACACCCACTGAAAAACCTATTATTCTATTATTTTCCAAAACAATACACTTTTTTTCATTTTTTTAGTCTCCTCTATGTTTAATTTTTTTGTTTTCCGCTCACTTTTGCACGCAAACATATGTTTATGTATCTAGTTACTTGACCCTACATTATCTGTCCGACCTATGGTTACTGGACACAATCGTATTTATTACCATACGCGTACATCTCAACCTGTTCGTGCTTGTGAATTCGATGTGGACTCTGAAGCAGAAGATGCTCCAGTCTGGCTTCGTCAACATTATCAGCGCAAGGTGGAGGAATTCACCGATGTAAATCCGGTCAGTCTTTCTCTTTTCCTCTCCTTGTGTACATGTCTTCAAAGCGTTTATTTATTGCTGTTGTAATATTCCTATATTGGAAAAACACCGCTATTTTAAACCATTTTGGAGTGTCCATGAATTCCTTTTGTCTAGCTTGGCATGCATTTAAGATTACCTTATCACAGCAATTGTATTATCGCTTTACTGTCCTTGTATAATTTGAGATGCATGTACTATATGTACCGTGTTAACAAATTTTCACCCCAAGGTGATCGTTATTTTGATATTATATGCTGTTGTGATGTAATCAAACCTGATGTATGTTTAGCATTTATTAATTGTCGTTAGCAATGGAATTAAATTTCGGCACTGGATAAAGTGATCAGCGTCCACTTCATGCGAAAGTGAGCTCAGTTATTCTGCAACTGTTAAGTAAGTTCCTTCTGATGCATTGGTTATCTGCATTTGTCCCTGTATTTAGGGTGATTACCTTTTTCAATCGATCTGTGATCGTGTGGTCGATTAACCCTTAACGTGCGCATACACAGACACTATATTGTCACTGTTGTTAATGCACGTGGACAATCACAGATACAAATTCGACTGAATGGACTTCGAGATTTTGCACCGAAAAACTTTGGACAAAAGGCTCATGGAGTTCCGGAGGCATAGTATTCAGAGCAGTCGTTGCATAAATATATCCAACATGTCAATCAGTAAGAAAGAAGTCATAGTTATAGGTCAGCTTGATTACAAGAGCAAACTTTACGAAGACGGCTAAGTCACAAATAAAAGTATGAAAACTAATTGATTTAACTCTTGCGGGTAATAACTAAGAAGCTCACTTTACAAAAAAGTAAGCTCTCTACTCGAACACCACTGGTCGAGTGAGAGCTTATGGCGAACTGTCACCGGAATTCTTCACTTCAAGTGGTGTCCGTCAGGGATGTCCACTTTCTCCATTCTTGTTTAATTTTGTCATAGACATGCTCCTAGAAATAACCCTATCCTCATCTGAATTTTCAGGAGTAGACCTTTTACCTGGTGGCTCGCTTATTGACTTAGAATATGCCGATGACATTGTCCTACTTGGTGAAGACGCTGACAAAATGCAGAGTCTTCTGACTACCCTAAGCAACAATGCAAGCATGTTCGGGTGCATTCATTCTTTGTGTTCTCTCAAATTCTAATCTTCTGGATTCGTCAACACCCCTACTTTTGACTTTCTAAACCTATCTCATTGAATCATACTCCTTGAATAATATCTTCTAATCCTAACCTCTTCGATTACTTCTGATACCTTTACTACCTCTTCTACTATTGGATTTGAATTGACAATTATATCTCTGTGTGCTAATGTGGTATGGCGACATGAACTGATGTACTTACGTACGAAGTTCTATGTGGCATCTGACTGACTGTAAAAGTTCTCATTAAAATTACAGGCTTGACTTGCTGATTAGTCACATCTGTAGTATCAATTAAGGTTTCCTCCTATCCATAACTAATGTTAGTTTCTTTGACTTATTTTAAATTTAATTCTTTATTCTTTCACGCTTATCTTATAATTCTCCTTAATCTTCTTTTTGTATTCAGGGTGAAAAACAAATTATGCAATTGTGGAATTCCCTACTTCTGTCCATTCGTCCATCTAATTTAGTAGTTTGTGATAGTCAAGTATTAACATTAACTTGTCAATTTATTCATCAACATAGTCGTTGGATTCATAGACGACGTTTACGTACTAATCTATTATTACATTTAGTAAATCTTGTTGATTATGGCTTATTATCATCTAGTCAATTACGTCAATTAATGTTAATTTATGATAAACATGTACAAGAATTAAATGCTATCAATAATACACCAAAGAATAATAATAATAATCCGATGAATAAAAATACACAACCATCATCATCTTCTTCATTGAATAATGCTTCAACAATGATGACAACAGTGACAACAACAACAACCACAGCAACAACATCAGCAACAGCATTAACATCTGAAGTGAAATTAGTCGTTAATCATCATGTTAGCAATAGCAATACTAATCATAATCATCATCATAATAATAATAATGATAATAACAACAATACTAATGTCAAGTCACAACCGATTATTCCACGTCTTCTTCAAATGTTCTCTTCATCTTCATCATCTAATTCCTAGTGTGTAAACAAGTTGATGCATATACATACAACACACCTATTTTTCTCATTCATTCTCATTGTATCTCTGTGTCCATGTTCGTGATATTTATATGAGAAGTCAAAGACAATATGTGTATGTGTGAATCAATGCATTTTTCTTTTTTGTTGTTTACTTGCAGATATATTAATTTTCCGTATAGGCCAAACAAATTGTTTTTGGATTTTGTTTTTTTAAAAATTTCATTTTTTTAACGGCAAATTCAGCAATCATTCTCACAGTGAATATGTCCGTGCACGTACTCCTTCATTTCTTAGAAAAATTTGCTCAATTCTTTTCTCCAGTTTTCACCTCTCACATATGTGTGTGTGTGTGTGCGTGTTCGCGGTGTGCGCGCGCGATGTATATGTAATAATTGAGTCATATAAACTTCAACACCTTGTCTTTTTTTTCTAATTGTTTTGTATCTAATCAGTAAAGAATTCCTAGATTTTACATATTCCCAGGATTCATAAAAAAAAATGTACGTACATACAACCGTGTACAACTACTATGTAACGACAATTTATTTGCTTTAATTTTCTGTGGTGTGTATACAAAATTGTTTCTTCTCCACACTCCATCATTGTCCATTTATATTCTTAAATGCTTCCTTCTCTTAAACCATAATTCATGTGCATATATAGATATATGACGCAGTAGTACATGTATTATTTGGTTAACCGTAATAACAAAATCCAAAAAAGTATGTGCCTTCTTAGAATTGATGAGTTTTTATGAGAGAAAAAAATGAACAGTTATTTCATATTATTATTATTATTACTAGTATTTCTAGTATTATTATCATTAGTATTGTTATTATTAATAGGATTATTCGTATTATTAGATTTTGTTTCAACCAATATGAACACAATATATGTATGTGCACGTATGTGTTTGTGTGTATGTATGTATGTAGGCATCCGATAAGTGTATGTTACATGTGTTTATCTGTTCAATTACGATTATCTTTTATTACACTCTTTTATATGCTTCAACCGAGCTGATGAGGTGTGGTCTAGAGGAGTAGTAGTCAAGAGCAATTTAATAGTCATATTTATATATATATATGTACACACAAGTCCATTTATATTAACATCAAATCATGATATCAATACCATTATCCACTTATTATTATTATTTATTTCATAGCGAGATTATTACCTCGTCTTTTCGTTCTGCAATTGTCTGAAGTTTAAAGGGTACAATTCAATGAATGACCGACTCGTCAAAAATTGTATTCCTTTTCTTGTGTTTGACTCAATTGTTATTGAATATGACGATCTTATCAAAAGTATATATATATATATATATATTTAATTAATACTATTGTTACTGAATAGTTGTTCATTTTTTTGTATTGCTGTTCTAGTTTGACTCAGGCGTGTTCATGTTCCGCACATATTATAATTTAATTCCATAGCCTTTTTATATTTCTTCACTTCACAACTGTTTTTTTCCCACTACCACGGTTACTATAATTCACTGTGTGTGTGTGTTTGTTTATGTTCTCTTCGATACACATCAAAAGCCTTTTTGTCTTGATTAGATTTTGAATCCAGATCATTGTTATTCTAATTTGTTTATTTATTTTTGACTATTCCAAATTCTTTGCGTGTTTACGTGTTTATTCTAGGAATATATATTTATTAACTTGTCTCCATGTCTATCGTTCCTCTGGTTATTATCATAGGAGTTTTTTTGTGGCGCATTCAATTGTGCGAACACTTATTCACTGATTAATTTTTATCCTGATTATGCACTTAGGATTTAAACATGAATCTGTATACATTTTACTTGTCATGTGATTGATTAACCGACGAATAGGTGTCTTTTTTTTATATATACATCTTTCTTCGCAAATATATTTATTTACTGTAGTGCCATATTCAAATTTTGTAAGCGTTTTCAATATTCTATTCTCATTACTTTCTTTTTTCATTCAATCAACTTTTCCGTGCATCTATTCACTGGAAACAAATTCCTAATGTTGTCATTTCTTTTTGGAATTATTCTGGCAGCTATCTGTTCTGTTTTGTGTATATCAACAAAATCATGTTTACGTGTATATTTGTATGTGCACATGCACATACACTACCGTGTGTTGATATTTACAAAACTAATGTTTTCTTTTTTGAGCTGTTATTCCTCCCTCTACGCGTGCCTATTCATATCTTTTATGGGTATGTGTATCATCTATGTATATGTTACACTTGTTCCATCGTAACTACTCTCTACATTTTGTGCTTTTTATTCAATAGAATAACAGGAATAATTTGTTTTTTGTAAAAGATGTTTCCATATACTCTTTTTTGTATAAAAACGTATATATATATATATATATATATATTTGTTTAGTTATTATGACGTGCTCGAAGCATTATGTAGGCTTTTTCTATTTCAAAATAAAACACTTTTTCCAATTATGTATTAGTATTTGTTCTTATCCATTAGGTTATAGTTTTTTTATGCTGTGATTCTTTTCACTTTTTGTTGTTGTTGTTGTTTAGTGACGAGGATGATGGTGATTTGGCTTCCTGACTACTATAGTATTCGTGTTCTTTTGCATATATTTCTCTCAATTTGTTTACGTTATAGCATGTACTGACTTTGAGAGGAAGCTCTTGTGAAAAGCTGTGGTCTCCGAAGTTTAACCATTTTTCAGTATGGGAAAGTTATCCACCAATGACAATGAAAGATTATCATAGATTGATTGAAGTTAGGATTGCAAAGCTTTGGATTCCCAGATTAGTGGTCTATAAATAACGCATACGTGCCTGAAACTTAAGATCATAAGTTCAGCTCCCAGCTGCAGAGTTGTGGTCGTTCACTGATGAGTCTCATAATAGAACGAAACTGAGATTCCAGGTTTTCAGTGGTTCGTGATTTCAACGTAATATAAGGGTTTTTACAAACACTTCCAACCTAAGTGTTACTTGCATCAAGCAAAGAAAAACTACTTATAGAAAAATAAAATCTAAGTAGCATTTGTCGTTTAGGATGATTTCATTGGTTTAAATGAGAGCAGCTTGCATTGGTTGTCAAAGTGTGGTGATAAGAAACCATATTATATATTTGTTTATTCAAACACAAGTATTGATATACAATGGTACTAAAATATTTATGCGACACAAACTACTGAATTTGTGTGGGCCGAGGAACTATCCGAGTGCCTAAACCAAAGCAGGCGGTTTCTTTAGAGTGCCACATCCCGTGCTTTTGACCTATTGCTCTCATCCACAAGACAGTGAACCAACTTAAGGAGATGCAGTGCTCTGGTGTCAGTCATCAGCAATAGGTTCATGCTCTATTCGCTCCATCAGGATCCTGGAGCGCATATGTAATTTCGGTTTGGAATGAGGTTTTCCAACTTTTCCAGATGAGTCTTCCATAGCCACCATGTCATTCAAAGTTTTTGAATATTCAATTTTTGTCCTCTTTATTTCGTAAACAACACTTGTAGCACGAGAAGTCGGCGAGTAGAAATTCCCTGGCGGTATCTATATATTCATATTCATATGAGAGCTTGTCGCGGGGGAGATCAAATTCCCTACTCTCGACAGTACCAGAGTGTTTTGGGGATCTTTGAACCATCCTCAAATGTTATCACCTTTATATATATATACTGTATTCTGAGGTGATTGTTCTCGATTTTGTTTATTCCGTTGCTTCGATTATTTTAGTTCATGAAATTAATATTAACGTAGATAAAAACAGCTAGTACACTTAATCTTTTCGAATTATACCACCGTTCATGGTATTGTGTGATATACAGTTACTTTTCCACTCTTTAGACGGTGTGCAGCTGCATATTTATTTGTTTTTTTTTTATGTAAAAGAAAAACTCAAAGCTGTATCCCTGCATATGTGTAGTTCATTTTTAACTACTAATATATTATGCTGTTATGTTCCAGTCTCTGGGATGAATATGACCAATCCAATGAATGATGAATCTATATGGGATTCCGGTGAAGATGAGTCTGTATTAGATGCTGAGGTTCCTATTGGTATGTTTAGTTCCTACAGCTTAGATTTTGGCAGTGTCGTTTAGTTTTATTTCCATTTATTCAAGCGATTTTTAGTTTTTGCTTAGCAAACAACCTCACCCCTGTAATCACTTTAAACCTACACCTTCAAAACAGCCATCTGCGTGATTTTTTGTAAGCTATGTTTCCAGGTGCAGATTACCTGGTTTAGATCCACGCAATAGCTACAGTCAGTGGTTAGATGACATTACGCAAAATCATTCCTAGTGGAATTCCACTCTTTACCTTCTCACATATTTCGGAGTTTCACTATATTCTTTCGTACATACCTTTTTATTCTGCCTTTCCAATGATATTTCTAATGCTTACTTTCTTTTACTAGAACGATTATTTCATCTGGTCGTACTGATGGAGTATGACAATATAGTTGTATGAGAGTTTTATTGATTACGAATGACAGCTTTAGGAAAAATACTGGTGAGTGTAACATGTGATCATGCATATCATACCATGTTAAACGGTAACGGCAAAGCTACTGTGTTATTAACTTTGGAATGTTTTGAATGTAGAAAGTGAAGATTTGACTTGTTAAAGCTTCGGAAATAGCGTCATGTACACAAGATAAGTAAAAGCACAGTTCAAATGGAGTAATGTAACTAAAACATGTTGATTTCATTGCTTAGAAAGACTATAATAAAAAAAATACCATTGGATTTTGTTCTTACCCATGACAAGAAACGTCCATTGAATTACTTCATTTCTAACACCATGTAAACAGATAATATTTCAATAACAACTGATATAGTAGCCCATAATTTAATAGCTCTATACTTTACACTAACCACGACTTTATTTTTTCCTCCTTGTCTCTTACGTTAATAAATAAAAAATTTTGTTGTGTTGTTTGAGATAAAATTTTTGAAAGCCTTTCGAGGTTATAACACCTTTTGAATCAGGGTACCTGTCGTTCTAAAAATCAATTTCACAATGTTATCAATTTGTGCAAGAAGTCACTTAGAGACTGACAGATGAGTCCAATTTTCGTAACCGGTAAATATCAAAACTTTCATATTAAGGGTAATGATAGTAAAAATGATCAACATCCTCACAATCTGTTCGAATTTTTTAAGCTCGTGTTGATTAATGCTGTCCGTCACAGACTATATCGAATCGCTTGTCACCCATATTTTATCTCAGCGGAAGACACTTTTATATGCCAACTCTATGCTTCTATCTATCGACTCCCTGTTGACAATGTCACTCATCTGTGTAAATGAACTAGTTCAGTCTATTTAGCTTGCATGTCTTGGAATATTTTGACAGTCGTTCTTCGTAACGTCTCAGTTCCTTAAGCGTTTCGGTATTTACCAGTCAATCATTCAACATGATAATTTAGTCAGTTTTTGTAATGACAAACTAGCTAAATTGGGTTTCAGTGTTTTAAAGGCTTTTGAAACCTTGTGCTTTACCAAGTATCAAATTTAAAAAAAACTGTTCCACTAGTGGCGGATTTATTGCTAGTGGTATAGTTGGCTGGAATAGCTTGTATTTTCTAGAAACAGCTGCTGTCTACATGTTACTGGCGCACCTTAAATGTAATACTTCACTGTCTTTATGTAGGTTTTTCGATATTAAGGATTCACAACGATTGATGTACTTGGGATTGCCTGATATAACATGAACTTTAAAACTGTTCCAGTAGCCTGCAAAACTCAAATATTCATAGGTAAGGTGGTTCCTGTACTCACGAAAACCTAGTTCACCTTTTTTCGGCGTCTTGTTCCTGCAACTATCGCTTAAATTCAACGGGGTAGCAGTTGTATAAATGATTTGATATCAGATCACAATGCTAGATTGAAACACTCACGTAATCATTCTGTCTAGATATAAATGTATGTTGATAACGTAAGCGTAACATAGGTTTGACCCAAGTGTTTGGTGAGAATTAAGGCCGGTGCTGGAATTCGCTAACAAACATGTAGGTGAAGCGATTGAAATTAAAAATGGAATCATGTATCAAACAGAAAATAATTATACTGTCATTTTTTGTCGATTAAGTATGGGTGTATATCTGTCGAAGATAGTTCTCCTTTTTTCGTTCTGTAAGCAATAAATATTTATTGGCCACTGAAACTAATCTCTTCAACTCAGGAATTCGGTCACTTGTATAGGCTATGTTTCACAGCATCAATGAGATGTCACATGATTTAGCTGGATCAGTTTTAGTTTTCTAAAATTCTACATCGATGTCTAAAAAATTAAAGTGCATATGCATGTATATTATTGTATTCCATATCTTATTAAACAACTCTCAGGACCAAATATTCAACTAACAGACAGATACAACGTATAACTTTGTACGTACGTACATCAGTTCAGGTTGCCATACCACATTAGCACAGAGACGCAACTGTCAGTTCAAATCCAATAGTGGTAGCGATAGTAGGAGTATTAGCAGTAATGGAGAAGGTTAGGGATCGAAGATATGATTCAAAATGTATAATTCAGTGAGATAAATTTAGACGAAGAAAGATAGAGATGATGAGGAATTCAGAGGGTTAGAATTTGAGAGGACACAAAGAGTGGATACACCTACACCATCGCAAACGATTTCGAGCCATGTCATTCAAGGTCTCTAACCATTGGTGCCTTAGGTCTCGCGGATCATAATTAGGTAGCCTAAATCTACCAACATAACTCAGTCTACTTGTCAGTGATTTCATGGATTTGTGGCATGTTTCCGTTTAGCCGCCCCTAGCTTTCTTCCAACCTCCTACACCACAAAACATAGCTCATCGAGGCAGTTGGTGGTTGGGTATTTGTAACACATGTCCCAACCACCTCAACTGATGAAGTTTCTATACTTCATCTATTAATCTGCCATCCTTACCTAGTACCCGTTTCCTAACAACAGCATTGCTCACTCGGCTGTCCCAGGATATACGAGCAATGCTTCGGAGACACCTATGATCGAAAACCAGTAACCTACGAGTTTCTTCTACTCTGACTGGCTACGTTTCATGGCCATAAATTAGGACGGAGTGAACTGTTGCGCAGTACATCCGTCCTTTGGTTAGCCGACAGATATTTCACCTACGCCATAGGTAACTCAAGTTGGCAAAAGCCAATCGAGCCTTCTGTATCCGAACTGAGATTTCGTCAGTCACCAGGCCATCGGCACTGACGAGACTTCCCAGATACGTGAAGCGGTCTACACACTCGACTACTTCACTCCTTAACACTAGTTCAGGTGCCGATACAAGCCAATCTAGAAGCAACATTTTGAATTTCGAAAGGGAAAGCCGTATCCCTACGATGCATGCGTTGCTGCTTAGGGTAGTCAGAAGACTGCCTTTTATCCGCATCTTCACGAAGTAGAACTACGTCATCGGCATATTCTAAATAACGGGTGAATTTCTTGGTAGAAGGTCTACTGCGGGAAATTCAGACGAAGATAATGTAATATCTGGAAGTAGGTCTATGACAAAATTAGACAAGAATGGAGACAGTGGACATCCCAGAAGGAAATCACTTGAAGTAACTGATTCCGATGACTGTTCGCCATAAGCTCTTACTCGACATTCAAAAACTGAAAGCCGTTTAGACTACACAATTCATGAGACTAGTTGTTGAAGGAATTTGAAATTAAGTAATAATCCCATAGGATAGTGTAATGACGAACAGTCTCAATTGTAGCTTTCTTTCTTGATGCAGTTTCTCGGTTAGTTTAACTAAACCACTTGCTTACCACGGTCCCCCTTTTTTGAGCTTGTTAATTAGAGAATGAAATATTTGTAGTTTTCTGGTGAAATTGTACTGTTAATTTAGTTTGACGCACACTATTTTCTTGTTAGTACCTAGGAGTTATCAAGTCCATACCTAGTTGAACTTTGGTCTATCTGATATGTACTTACAACTCTTTTTACCTAATTCACTTTGGTGGCCTGAATGATAATTTTAAGTTGTCATGAAATCAATTAATTCACGTTAAATAAATCTCAACTTGTGTAATAGTTTGATTTAGTTTAACATGTCTGTATTAAAAAAGTCAAACGAAGAGAAAAGTATATTAGATAGAACATAAACATGGAAGAATTATAGCATTAAGATATATATGTGATTACACAACTGCGTTAAATTTGCTCACACCAACCATTGCGTCTATAAATATGGATCTCTAAGATGCTAACTTTTGTCTCAAAAGTTCGTCCATGGAAATCTATCAAACATCTCTCAGTCAGTTTCAAACGTTTTTATATGTGTGTGAGGTTTGTAGAGATTGTTAACTTGTACTGGGCTCACGACCTGATCGAAGTTGGACAACTATTGGAAAACCATTTTGTCTTAGTGTAGAACTCATCAGTGAGCATCTGCAACCTTGAGACCGGGGATTGAACCCAGTACCTTTGTTCGCACGTGTGTATACGTAACCTCTAGACCTCTAATCTGGAACCCCACGACCTTAGCTGTTACCTTGACTTGGTGGTCGGGCCTGCCTATCGTGATGACCCAATCGAGCTATGTTGGCTGGAGCTTACGTTCCCTGTAGGTTCTACCATGCCAGGCAGGTCGATTGAAGAAGGATGAGACTAAAAGCAGCTACTCAAGGTCTGGGGGCGAAGTCGTAGTGCTGACTATTGAGAGGTGTCTCCCTCGGACAACCAGCGATGTTGCCTTTTCACCCTAAAAATGTCACACCTTACCTCACGGACTTCGTCTCCGGCGGTGAGGCCCTTTTAACATGAGCGGAGCTAACACTTCAAAAACTTCTCATAAAAAGGCCTTGGGTGACCAGCCTCAAGCAGTTGCCCCTTGGGCTCTGTGCTCATGCTCCCAGGTCTCCAAGATCAACACCAATCTACCTTCCTTTTCAGGTCCTTCAAGAAACCCTTTCACAGTGTGGGCAGCCGGGAAGTAACATCCGCCCTCATACCCGTACCAGCACGCGAGACCGAATTGGTCACAATCAAATCCTTCCTACACCCCTTAACATCCCCATTATCTTCATGACTAACTCTTCT